AAACTGTTTAAGCAATCGGTTCCGTTTTACCCCAAACCCGATCCCTAACTAAAAACTATTGAATCAGTCAATGATCAATTGACTCGAACGATCAAACCGTTAACCCGATTAACAGTTTTTGCTGTTTTAGATTATTTATTTATTTTTAATTTTTATTACGAGACCATCCATTCAAACCGGATGGTCGAACGATCGGCCCAAAAAGCAATGACCAAAAGTGATGCTCGTCAAAATTGTGGTATTGAACAAATTAGTACTGGCCACACCGCCACAGGCCCACAGCCAACAAAATTGAATTCCCTTTTGCCCATGCTCAGGAACTGTAGACGATTCCGTCCCCCTCCCAAATTTCCTAATTTCCCTAGTTTGACAAATTAAATAAGATTCTGTAAACACAAAAAAGAAATGTTTGGAATCTTTATATAGTATCATAGCTACCGTGGGGATGCACCACTTGCACTACGTGCCAATGGAAGTGGGAGCATAAAATCGGTTGTCACTTTCTTATTGCTCCATATATAATCCCTATGCTATCTTTTTATAATAGAGTCAAATCACTTTTGTATTTGAATGGACAATGTGCATCAAACAACAAACCTTCTTTTCCGGGAAATTAATTAAAAAGATCAATTGAACGAAGAATCTTTGTGTAAATGACGTAATTAACTTGACAAGAAAAGAAGATTGATTGAATCTTCCACTAAGGTTCGCTTTTCTTGAATTGTCAATAAATTAATTAATGAAATTTTAATTTTCATTGATTAAGATATGGGATAAAATTGTCCTTTTTAATAATAATTTTTTATAGTTAAAATGACCATTTTCTTATTTACTTAAAAAATAAAAAGACATAGATAGATAAGTGTTTTCTAAGAAATACGTTTAATCCAGCTAAATAATTTCCCGAAAAGTGAATAGAGCCTAAAATTGAAGTAATTTGAGCATTGTTCATTTTTAAGTCATTTATTTGGGTAAATGTATTTTTATTCAGGTAATTGTTTTTTAGCATGATTTTTAAAATCAACTGGGTGACCGAACTGGTCAGGGGTCTGGTTACCGGATCGAACGGTTCGACCGTGAACCAAATGCTCGGCCCACTCTGACAAAAAAAATCAAAAAATAAAAAAATGGTCAAAATTGTTTGAACGATTAACCGCCCAGTTCAGTGGTTCATTGACCAAACGGTTTTGGGGGAAATCCGATTTTGGGGAAAACGGAACCGGCCACTTGATTAGTTCCTAGTTTTTCTGGTCCGATCCAGTTTTAAAAACCA